CCTCTTCTGCCTCCTGTTCTACCTCCACCTCTGCCGCCTGAGACAGCATGGCCAACCCCTCCTCTTACTCCTCTTCCTTCTACTCAGTTTGAAGATGAAGAGGATGAAGACTTTTTATGATGATCCAGTTACACTTAATGAATAATAAATAAATATCGTGCTATATACATTTAACTTACCTCTTGCGTGTGTGAGTAACTGTACGGCAAGAACTGTGTTAATTGACTTTATGTTATTGGTAAGGCTTCCAGTCAACAGTAGGCTATCAGTAGTTAAATTTTGGGAGAATCAAAAGTTATACGCAGATTTTTGACTGCACGAGGTTAGTAGAATTGTCACTCCTAACCCCTCCATTGTTCAAGAGTCAACTGTACATAGGCTAGTCTTACTTATTACATTGTTTTCTATCATGAGTAAAAGGATTGTTCAATATTAGCAATTATATTTCACTATATTAACAGAGGAAAAATGAATAATAATGTGATCTTTTTAGTAAATGCCAAGTAAGAATTTGTTAAAATTCATCACTCATGAAAAAAGATAGGGGAGAAGTGGCTTTGATCTCATTAAGCATTTCTGTCAGAGATCTTTTATATTTAATAATGGATCATTGGAAGTGTTACCATTAAAGTTGAAAGTAAAACAAAGATGCCTGTTAGTAATGCTGCTGTCTAGAGCTGAGGTGACAATTTTAGGCAATGCATTAAGATGGGGGAAAAAATTAGTAATGATTGGTAGAAAGGGAACTCAACAGAATTAGTTCATCAAAGTGTTGGAATAAAGAAGGAGCGTTGGCAGCTACCCGATAATAAGGTCAGCATATACCAGTAGCTTTTCTATACAGTAGCAATAACTAATTAGAAAATATAGTGAGAAAAAGGACATTTCACACATGATAGTTATTTTAAAAAGTAAGTACATAAGAATAAATCCATGCCCCTCCCCAAAAAAATTTAGGCTATTTTGAAGGGACAGAATGGAAAACCTAAATTAACAAAGTAATACTGTTTTCCTAGATGAGAGGCCTTGATTTTCTTTCTCAATTACTTGTTTAATTTTTTAAATGAGAGTTCTTTTAAAAGAGTTTGAATACTACAGAAGTTTATAAAGTGAAAGTGTAGTTCTCACTTCCAGCCAATCCTAGCCTCTGGAGGTAAATCACTGTTAACTTCGTTATGTATACATCTAGACCTTTTTCCATATACCTAACAACATGTACAAAAGCATATTTATTGTTATTGTGCTTTTTAAGCAAAAATACATAATTTTTTTTACATAATAAAATTTTGTTAGGTTTTATATGTAATAAAAAATATGTAATTTTCAGAATACTGCCCCAGATAATATGACTAGAGAAAACATGAAAATCACTGTTGGATAAAAATGGGGTACAGAAGATACTTGAAAAAATTACTTGAAATAATTTTAGGGACCAGTAAAGTAAATCCATATTAAGGATATAAAATAATGTTATATGCCTTTGAGTCTTATTCTGTAAATAACTAAGCCCTGAGGAACATCTTCACCTTTGGATGTCATAGGTGATTGATTACCTAGGCATATTAATGAACTCATATATGTTGTAAGAGTCACTGGGTAGTGCAAATGATTAATGCACTCAAGTTCAAACCAAAAGATTGGCAGTTCCTGTCCACCCAGAGGCATCTTGTAAGTTCTTCTGAAAAATCAATTGTTGAAAAACCTGTGATGTACAGTTCTACTCAGTCAGAATTGACCTGACAGCAACTGGAACCAGTATATTTGTAAGATTTGGAGTCTCCTTTAAAGGTGACTCCCTTTTGAAAGGCACTTTAAAAGTTACGTAGTATCATTGTCTTAGAATGGATAAAAGAAATTTTCTGGAGAAGCAACACTTCATCCTGTTTCAGGAGTTTAGTTTAATATTCTTGAAAATGGTTAATACACAACAGCAGCAACAACAAATAAACAACTGAGTATCACATTTATGCCTTAATTAAAGACTAAAAGGAAATACAATAAAATATTCATGTGTTGGTGTGATAATTTTTCTTTCATTTCTTCCCCCTCCCTTTTTTTTCCTGTTTCTCAAATTTCCCTTGAAATATTTGGGCAAAATATGTGAATAGGCAAACTGTCCAACTGATTAGTATAATAAATTTGAAAATAAATTTTGCTAACAAATACTTAACATGATAAATTTTTTATTATATTGTTAAAGATTGACAGACTTTGAAAGGAAGTATTTGCAGTGGTAAAGCACTTGGCTGCTAACCAAAAGGTCAGCAGTTAGAACCTACCAGCTGTTCCACAGGAGAAAGATGTAGTCTGCTTCCGTGAAGATTACAGCCTTAGAAACCCCATAGGGCAGTTCTACTCTGTCCTGTAGGGTTGCTATGAGTTGGAATTCAATTCAATGGCAATGAGTTGTTTGTTTGTTTTTTGACTCATTTACACTGCTGTCAGAAGTGTAAATTTGGCAAAGCCTTTCTGAAAAGCATTTAGACAAGTCTTAAAAGTATACTGTATTCCAGAAATTACACTTCTGTGAATATACCCTAAGGAACATTCTCTGAAAGAACAAAAGTTGTAGATGTTATTGCAGTGTTATTTCACAACAGCAGAATGTTAAAAACCATTTTACCTATCTGGTAGGAAGGAGAGTATGTAAATAAGTATTGAAGGGATTTTTTAAAGAAAGTGATAGAAAAGTGGTAAAACTGCATCCTATCAGACAGTTTATAAGACCGTGAAAGACAAAGCAATCCCCTTGAGTTCTGGTACAGGTTTCACTGTATATTTTAAAATCAGTTTGGTTTATTATAGTAAGAGGATACTGTTACATGTAGTTTTCTACTTATGTATATGTGCATTCCTTTTTAATGCTGAAAATGATACTTGATTTGTTTCATTTTATTTTATTTTCAGGCCAAGATAGCCAGGTTAACAAAACGATTTGGAGCAGCCAAAGAAGATCTTAAGAAAAGACAAGAAGTAAGAATTGCTATTTGCGCATAATTAAAATTGAGCTCTAAATGGTAATCTTAGGAAATGCTGAATTAGGAGGAAACATTTTATTACAGGTCTCAAGTTTCACTTTCATGCTGTGCTTCTCTTCTGTGTGTTATTTTTAGAGCTACAGCTCTAAAACTAATCAACTCAACCCTTTTCTGATCCTCACAATTCTCATATATCAGCAGTATTTTAGGATATGATATTGTTGAGGCCTTATTTTTTATCCATCTTTAAAATTACATTTGTGGAATTTACCTTATCATAGTTTTTTCTTTTTATATTCTTTCCAGTGTTCTAGTCTAGTCTCTTATCATTTTCCTTATAGAGTATTGAAGTATTCTACTGATGTTAGTAATCCTGACCTCCCGTTCCCTTCTTCCCCATGTAGTCAGTCCCTACTATTTTGTAAGTGTAATGACAGGGGCGGGGGGAGGACTGCCATCCAGTCGATCCTGACTCATAGTGACCCCACTTGGGGTTTCTGAGGCGGTGTCTCTATGGAAGTAAATTGCCTGGAGTTCTTTCTGAGGATTGTCTGATGGGTTTGAACCGCCAGCTTTCTGGTTAGCAGTCATATGCCTTAGGCACTAGGCCACCAGAGCTCCCAAGTATAATGAATAGATAGCAATTAATTAGATCAAGTCCTTTATTGCTTTAAACATGTTGACTATTTGAGTGAATTAAGTTCAAACACCATAGTATAGCATAAACTGTTACTGTAGTCTGGTTTTTGCTCTTTACTCTTTCCTGTTACTCCATAATATGTACTTCTAGTATTTAAAAAAAAAAATTCTCACTGCCATCCAGTCGATTTAACTCATAGTGACCACTCCTTGGGTTTCCAAAGTGGTATCTCTACAGAAGTAGATCGCATAGCACTTAGTTTATTACATCATAGTTTTTAGTTGGATTTCCTTTTCTTCCTTTTAGGAAAGTTACATGCCTTTAATTTGGCCTTGATAACTCTATTGCCTGGCACATAGCCATTGGCAATAATAGTCATTATTCAGTATGAATTATTTTTTCTATAGGATTTTTCAGTCTTGGTGTACTTACGTATATTCCTTACTTGCATTTATTAAAAATGTATTTTGAAATAATTAGAAATGCATGTTGTTGTTGTTGTTTGCCATTGAGTCGGACCCGTCTCATAGCGACCCCTCCTTGGGTTTCCAAGGTGATACCACTACGGAAGTAGATTGCTCAACGTTCCTTCCGACGAGTGGCTGGTAGGAAGTTTTAATAATAGTATATAGAGTCTCATGAACTCTTCCCTCAATGGCAATATCTTATATAATTACAGTACAATATCAAACCCAAGAATTTAGCATTGTTAAAATAACTAATTTACAGGGCTTGCTCAGTGTTCATCAGTTTTTTCATAAGTTCATGGTGCGTGTGTGGTGCCAGGTACAGATTTATAAAATCACCACCACCAAAACAAAAACCAAATGCACTGCTGTCGAGTCAGATCTGACTCTTACTGACCCCTCCTTGGGTTTCTGAGATGGTATCACTACAGAAGTAGATTGCCCAGGCTTCCTTCCGAGGAGTGGCTGGTGGGTTTGAACTGCCGGCCTTTTGGTTAGCAGTCACATGCCTTAGCCACTATGCTACCAGAGCTCCTTATCACCACCACAGTCAAGATAAATGTTCTGTCACCATAAAGGAACGTTTTGATACTACCTCTTTATAGTGGCACCCTCACCTCCACTGGCCCCATCCTCTATCCCATGGCAACTGCTAATCTCTTCTCAGTCTATATTTTTACTTTTTAAGTATTCTCTTTTTTCCTGAACCACTTACAGTTTTGTTTTGCACAGACTAATCTCATCAAACTTTTAATTTAGTCATAAGTCCCAGTGTTTTTGTTTTTTTAATTATTGTAGCCTTCTTCAATAGTGTGATTAATTCTTTGTAAGTTCCACTTTTTAGCTTTGTTTTCTTGTTATAATGTAAAAACTGAGTTTTCTTATTTTTGTACTAGAAAATGGATGTAAAACCTTTTTCACCCATTATTTCATATGCAGGAACTAGAGAGATGGCTTAGAAACTTTTCCATTCTTTTGTCAGAGTAAATTTCTGTTTTTTCTTCATCCCTGTGGCTGAACTAATTAACATACTGTCCATAATGTACTTTTGCAGTTTTGTGCAAAAACGTACTTTCTAGTTCTTTTCGTTTATTTAGTTGAAGGAGATAAATGGAGACTTTAAGGAATAAAGATTAAAATACTACAGTCCCTGAAAATTCTATTTTGGAAAGCTGTAAGTATTTTGAAACACGGAACAATACTGTGTAATTTCTAAAAACATGAAAATATTAATTTGATAGATAGGTGTGGCACTAGAGATATAAGGAGGTCATGAATCTTTCTAATTTTTTTTCCTTATTTCATTATCTTGTGGGCAAGGTCGATTTTAAATTATAAAACTTGAATACTTTTTTTTACCAGTTCTTGTTAATACTTCTTTCCAAACAATCATGATTTCTAGAAATTTATAGAATTTTGTTACTTAATTTCTTAGTTCTCACAATGGTGATTGATGCAAAATATTTTTGTTACTTTACTTGATTTTTGTTTACTGTACTTGAGGACCTGGAATGAGGGACATGGTTGGTGATGTCATATGGATCTTGGCTGAAAGCAGAGAATACCAGAAAGATGTTTATCTCTGTTTCATTGACTATCCAAAGGCATTCACTGTGTGGATCATAGCAAATTATGAATGACATTGTGAAGAATGGGAATTCCAGGACACTTAAGTGTGCTCATGAGGAACCTGGACACAGACCAAGAGGCTGTCATTCAAACAGAACAAGGGGATACAGTGTGGTTTAATATCAGGAGAGTTGTGGAACAGGATTGTATCTTTTCACCATAGTTATTCAATCTGTATGCTGAGCAACTAATCTGAGAAGCTGGACTGTGAAGAAGAACGTGGCATCAGGATTAGAGGAAGACTCATTAACAGCCTGCGATTTGCAGATGACACAGTCTTGCTTGCTGAAAGTGAGGATGACTTGAAGCACTTATTGATGAAGGTCAAAGACTACAACCTTCAGTATGGATTACACCTCAACATAAAATGAAACTCCTCACAACTGGACCATTAAGCAACATCATGATAAATGGATAAATGATTAAAGTTGTCAGGGATTTCATTTTACTTGGATCCACAATTAACGCCCATGGAATCATCAGTCAGGGAAAAAAATTATATATTGCATTGGGCAAATCTGCTGCAAAAGACCCCTTTAAAGGGTTAAAGAGCAAAGATGTCACGTTGAGGATTAAGGTGTACCTGACATGATCCATGGTATTTTTAGTAGCCTCAAATGCATGCAAAAGCTAAACAATGAATAAGGGAGACCACAGAAGAATCGATGCACTTAAATTGTGGTATTGGTAAAGAATATTGAAAAATCCATGGTCTGCCAGAAGAGTGAACAAATTTGTCTTAGATTAAATATAGTCGGAATGTTCCTTAGAAGCAAGAATGTCCAGACTTGGTCTTACATACTTTGGTCATGTTGTCAGAGGGCACTAGTCCCTAGAGAATGATAGTATGCTTGGTAGACTAGACTGTGAAAAAGGGGAAGACCTGCAATGAGATGGATTGACACAGTGCTGCCAACAATGAGCTCAAGTATAGCAAAGATCGTGAGCATGCCACAGGACTAGTGACTATTTTGTCCTGTTGCACATAGGGTTGCTATAAGTCAGAACTGACTCGACAGCACCTAACAACAGCATACTTGAATAAGGAACTTAGGTGGCATAGTGGTTAAAGCAGTCAGCTACTAACCAAGAGGTTGGCGGTTTGAACCCACCAGCTGCTCCATGGGAGAAAGATGAGAATCTTCTTCCATAAAGATTTACAACCTTAGAAACTCTATGGAGCAGTTCTTCTCTGTTCTATAGGGTTGCAGTGAGGTGAAATTGATTCAGTGGAAGTGGATTTGGTTTTGGTTTTTATACTTGATTATATATAATAATTGCCATTGACATTTATTACATTGCTTCTTGGTCCATTATTGTTTATGCTGCTTTATTCTGAAACTTCTTTATTTTGTTTGAACTCTTCCTTCTTTCTAATCACAGTATCTACTACTATTTTCCATTTGTATCTTGCTTAGGTTTTAAGTACCAGAGAGATAAAGAAGGGAATGCTGAGCACTTTAGCTCTCTAGCTTACCAAAATAAACAAAGAATACAACTTTAAATGCTTTTCTTCTATTTAGATTTTCTCCTTTGCCCTCTGATATTAACTAGTTAAGAACAAATCCCAACATTCAGGTTTAGTTTACACTATTTTCTGTTTTAATTTCTAGAAGAACATTCATAATATAACCTGTTGCATTGCCCTACAACTGATATCTCTACCTTTTGTCCTTTCTAGTTCTTCTTACAAAAGAACTGTCAGCATTTTCTCACTTATCCTGTATCTATTAAAATCATTCAAGTAATTGATTCCCAGTCAAATTTTGGATTAAATCTAAATTGTGCACTGTAGTTTTTCAGATCCTCCGTCAATCAGCTCCTTACCTTGTTCAAAGCCATGTTGTTTTCTTTATTCTCTATGTTTCTCTACTTCTTTTTTTCTCTTTTTAGTTCTCTATCTTAACCATTTCTGGTGTACTGAACACTCAAAGACCTGTTGGAAGATGCACTCTTTTCCCCCGTCCCCCTAAATTTTTTTTAGAATGTTTTCTATTGGTAGCACTGTTAACTTTCTTTTTTATTTGTTTCCCATGTATTTGTCTTGTGTCCACAACCAGATATTAAGCCCCTTAAGAGCGGATTATTTTTATCTGTCTTTTGTCCCCATTGCTCACATACTCAGTGCACTTAGTTGGTTAAAATAATCTTTTTAGCCTGTAAGCAGCAGCAAGATGTATTTGTTGTCAAGGGAAGAGTGAGTAGAGCTGCTTGCTGTGATCCTAGCACTTACCACCTTTATTTAATGTATACATCACCTGATTAAGTCTTGAGTAGACTTAAATTATTTCTCTCAATTCAAGAAATAAATGATAATGTCATTAATGTTGAAGGCCCAAATATTGATGATTGATAGGTAGAATTCCATTTTTATATTCTCTGCTTTTGGGAGAAAACGGCTGAAGAAAGTTGATATTTAAGCATAGAATAGTGACATCTTTCTTTGAAATTATTTATGTAACATAATAGCTTATGTTTAAAATAAAATCTTAAAATAATTTTGATTTGAGAATCTTGATTTGTAACTTGGAACACCACTTAATTGAACTAACTGCTTGAGTGGATTTCAAGGAATAAATATACGTGGTGTTTGTTGAATTTATGGTGCTAGTATGGTACCTGCTATGCCTGCTGTAAGGAGCCCTAGTGGTGCAATGGGTAAATGCCTAGCTGTTAACCAGAAGGTCTGTGGCTCAAATCCACCAGCTGCTCTGCAGAGAAAAGACCTGGTGATCTGGTCCAATAAAGGTTACAGCCCAGGAAACCCTTTGAGGCAGTTCTACTCTGTCCTGTAGTGTGGCTATGCGTCAGAATCAATTCAATGGCCTACAACAACAACAACAATGCCTGATGTGTTATCATAGGCATTCATTAGATAAATGAATGAGTCCAGTTAGTTATTCTTTAGAATCATATTAATGATTATTGAACCGTTATAGCATGTCAGACATTTTCATGTTCTTTATTTAATCTTCACAAGAACACTGAGGCATAGGAATTACTGTAATTACCTTCCCATTGATAGCAGTTTTTTTAAGGAGATTGATTTGCTTAAGATCCTGAACCTAATGAGTGATAATACCAAGATTTAGATTCTTGTTTTAAGTAGTAACCTTTGACAGTGTATTAGAATAGTAACAGACCACTTATTGAAAAAGCATTTAAAGTTCTTATAGTTCAAGTTTCTCTGTATATTGGGTTTTATTTTTACCTTGATTTTTTTTTTCCTTCCAGAATCCACCAAATCCACCTGTATCACCAGGAAAGCCTGCAAATGATATCAGCAGTAATAATAATATAACCTACAGGTGAGAAACATAAATAGTGTGTCCAATTCTAAAATAACTTATCAAGGTTTTGATTTTAATTTATAGAAAAATCTTAGCATGAAACTGTATATATTTATGTAGAGATAAGTGCTAGGCATATAGAATTAATTATGTTATATTTTCTTCTGCTTTGTTGTGTGCTCAGGTAAATTGCTTTTGCTAATTGTAAGGCTTTCTTTGGTCAATGCAGATTTCTTTCACCAACAGTAGTAAATAGTATTTTCTCAAATAATTGAGAAGTGCTTTGGTTGGGGATGAGAAAGACTTATGCATGTAGATGTTGGGACCTACATTTGGTCATGAAGTAAAGTAATGAGGACATTAGAATGTAAGAAGAAAGGCTGTGTACCAGCTATGTCTCAGTGCATTCATTGCAGTTTAGTGCTGCAGAACACAAATCTGTCTACCCTTTTCTATGGGTCTCCTGCTTTCTCTATATATAAATTAATATCCTCAAGATGGGCATATCCAATAATAATTTATGTGAATATTTATGTCTTAGAAATGCAAGCACAGTGAGGCAGATGCTGGAGTCCAAAAGAAATGTAAGCGAGAGTGCACCATCATCCTTTCAGACCCCTATGAATGCAGGTAACACTGTCTAACAACAAAATACATTTTCTTAGGAATTGAAGTTTTTGTTTCTCTTGTTTTACATTCTTTTAGAGTTTGAAATAACTCAAAACTGGTCGCATTGGTCCTAAATAGAGTGCTTATTACAAAATCATAAAAATTTACAATCACAATTAAGAACGTGTAAAAAGCTAGAAAATCAAATCTCTTGTATCGTGGTTCTCAAACATTTTGGTTTTTGGACCTTTATGCTCATTAAAATTATTAAGAACTCCAAAGAGTTTTTGTTTATTTGGGTTGTATAATCAACATTTACTGTAGTGGAAATTAAAAAGATTTCCATCAAGTTGATTCAGGCTTGTGACAACCCCTTATGTTGCAGAGTAAAACTGTGCTGCATAGACTTTTTAAGGCTGTGACCTTTCAGAAGCAGATTACCAGGCATTTATTCCTAGGCACCTGCAGATGGATTTGAATCAGCAACTTTTAGGTTAGTAGTCAAGCACTTAACCATTTGTGCCACCCAGGGACTCCTAAGTAAAAATTACTCTTAGTAGAAATTAAAACTCATAAACTTTAAAAATATTTATTCATTTAGATGTTCTAGTAATGAACCCATAATATGTAACAGAAATATTTTTAAGTGAAAAAAAAACTTTATTTTCCAAAAAAAAAATCAGTGAAAAGAATGTTACTGTTTTATATTTTTATAGTCTCTTTAAAATCTTTCGTAAGATATCAAGACAGTTGAGGACAGTTGGATTCTCATATCTACATCTGCATTCAGTACATTGATTTGGTTGAAATTTTTGAGGGAAATTCAGTCTCATACTGAATATGTAGTCGGAAAAGGGAGGAATGTTTTACTAGCCCTTTTAGATAGTGGTGGATATTCTTTGAAACTGACAAGTAGTATTTTCTTAAAGGTTAGTTGCAAAGTTGAATCAGAAACCATGCCAATGAACTTTTCTAATTCAGTTATAGTAAAGTCCATTTATCCATCTTGCACATTGGATGGATCTGTTACTAATACATTTAGTATTAGTAAATCTGTTACTAATACATTGATCATTTGGAAATTAATTCACTGAGTTATGCATGTTTTTTTCATGATGACACATTTCATTAATAAATATTAAATCACATTTCTTGAATTTCTTTGTCAGTTCCTCTCAGAAAAGTCTTTTTAAGAATTGGCAGTTGTCATTCTCACAATGGCAAGTAGAAGTTTTCCCAAAAATTCTAATATTTGTTTTACAGCTCAAATTTAATGTTGCTAATAAATAAAATTGATCGTTTTCTTTGAGGTGACTGGCTTAATCAGTTTATTTTCAAGAAAAGATTTGCCATGTACTCAAATGTGCATAACTACAGGATGTATGTAAGTTATTCTTTCAAATAAAAATGTTGTTCTATGCAAGTCTGCTTGTCCAGTTTACAACTGAAACATTGCACAAGTGCTTTACTTTGAATCAGCCATCCTATTATGGCATGCAGCAGTAGTGCATGTATACTTCCTGTTTCTTCACACAGAATATTAAGGGTTGAGGTTTATTAATAAAATTAATACCTTTACTGCTCATCAAGGACATTCTTTCTGTTTATTTGCTTAAGATGCTACATGCTTTGATTTTTACTATGAATGTAGAATGGTAAAGAATATAAAGAGACCTTAATTTTTCTACAAAAATTTTATTTACCTTGGCTTTTATTCTGTTAGTGCCAATGTCCACCCAGTGGAAAAGTTAGATAATGTCTTATTGTTATGAAATAATTTTAACTTTGGAGACTGTGAAAGGCTCTCAGGAACCCACACAGATTATCTCTCTAGACTACACCTTGAGAGTTGCTGCTCTCGTGCATTTGTGATTTTCAAATGACAAGAAGTCAAATGTGAGAGAAACTTGGTCATCTGTTTTAAACTTGTTCAAATGAAACAAACACAAGTAGTTGAATCCACTATAAAACTCCCGTGAGTAGCATTTCACTTGCCTCTGCTTTTTGTATACTCCGTCGTTGATTAATTCATTACCCATCTTCACTAAGTGCTTTTTTTCTGTATCATATAATGTCAATAGAGGGAGCCATACCCTTCTAGTTACTCTCCCAGGGAATTCAGTAAAACTTGATCCAGAGATAGTCCCAATGATAAAATAAAATGACCAAGTTTACCTATACCTATCACTCATTAAAGGTGAGAACTTTTTATAGATTTACTGTTCTGAGTTTATATGTTATAGGTGTTTTAAGGCACTTATAATGCTTTTACAGTAGTTTCAATAATGTATATGCTTTTTACTTGTTACTTTTTTTTTTTTTTAGGAGCTCTGGTAGCATAGTGGCTAAAGCA